AGGGGTTTTCAGCATTGGCTCCTTTGTGCTGAAGGAATACAATTTTCCCCTCTGCAAAGGCTTTTGCATCATTTGCATTCCAATGGAACCAGCAAATTGGGCCTTCGGTTTGGAGCAGACTTTTTTTATTGCAATCAGCAGAAAAGTTGGCCTTTTTCCTCCTATCATTTGATAAAATTTCACAAACTCGTGTTTTGGGAAGCATGAAGGGAATGTTACTCCAATTGTCCCAAATAATCTGGACAGATTTACAAGTACTTTGTGCTAGGATTCAGCTCAGGTCTCTGGATACATGTGTTTAACTCGCCACCACCTCTAAAAGAATCCACTCTCCGCTGCCAAAGGGCTCGCACCCAGCCTATAATTTAGCCTATGCTGGCTCTTGTGGCATCTGTCTTAGACTTATCAGTAGCCTTTTGGCACCAGGATGTACAGCGGTGCAAAACTGAAGATAGTGAAGTCCTGCCTGCACCGCGTTGTTCCTCCTACAGTGAGTTAACGCAGCGGGAATGCTAGGGAAGCTGTTGTCCAAAGCCCCATGCTTAAGATGTGATACCTGGAGGAATTCCCCCCGCCTTTTGCTAGCTGGGTAATGTTGCTCTGCTGTTGGGAATATAGAGCAAGCTCCAAAAGTAATACTGACAGACTTCAGAATTATGATACACTGGAGCTGTGGCGTAATTCTTTGTTGAAGAAGTTAGAGGCCTAAAATGTTAAGGCTTATTGTTATTCCGAGTTGATAATCTCTGCCTTGCTTTAATAATTTTTCCTCATGCCTGGATAGCCTGCGAGTTGCACAATAATCACTCACACAGCTTTGTAATCAATGCCCAAAGTAATAGGATTCCGCTGGCCAACGGCAATTAATAAATTTGTGTCTTTTTTAAAACACTGGCAAGTCGGGCCTGAAATACGACTGACTGCCTCTCCTCATTTGCATATTTATTGCAGTGGAAAAATTCTTGCCGAATGATTGATGTTGAGCCTGCCTCTTGAATTCCAAACAGCACATTATTATGAAATGAAAAATGCCGGCCATACAGTTGATTAAAGTTGAAGACAGTGGAATCGGTGTTTTTTAAGATTGTGGGAGAATTAAAGGCATATTTTAATAGATGTTGACAAGAAGTGAACTAACAAAAGCAAAGCAAAGGATTTGCTTGAAAAGATTTAATCAAACGTGTTTCGGGGGGGATTAATTGCTGGGGATGACTAGTGCAAGTGGCTGGCTTGTGGATTTGAATGAGAAGTATTGTTCTCAGGCCAGCATATCGAGTGCCATTGTGACCTGTAGTTTAACTCCTGTCCCGCAGTCGTTTGAAAGGAGTGAAAATTCCCCCTCTTCAGCTGAACGTTGGGATAAATGGGTGTACCTGATAAAGATGCTTTTCATTATGTGCAGATATTAAAGTAGAAGAGGTTTGATTCCTCTCCTTTTTTATCTGAGTGGGGCACTGCACCCGCCCTGGGCAGCGGTGACTTGGTGACTCCCCATGGTAGTGGCACAAGGAACTCACACAATATTTGGCAGCTTGGCTTTGCTCTGCAAACCGTGGTTCAAACACCAGCCGTGTTCCAGTTTTCCTGTGTGAGCACTTCATACAGCCTGTGGAGATACACAGAAAATTAAAAGCTGGCATGTGATGCTATTCCTGTGATGCCAGAGCCTCAGATTTAATTGAGGTGGGGGGGAAGTAATTTAATTCCCAGCTTTGGCATGGGCTCTGAATTTCAGCTGTGGCCTGGGTGTGTGGTGTTTCCTGCTGGTACATCACAGTAAGGATGCTCCTGTTTCTGTTTGCAGATAGTGTGTACACAGTAGCAAGCAAGAGACTGTTCTGCAAGGGAGCACTGCCACCCCATCACACCCCGTTAGGTGCCAGCAACATGCAGCCACGGAGTTAAAAATTCAGGGAGTTTTGCCCCAGTTTTTAGGATTCCCTCCCTATCTTACCCCAAATCTGCTGGCTGGATGCACCAAGGAGCTTTTCTGGGTGGAGCAGTTTTGGGAATCCCACTGTTTGGCTCTCTGTGAATACCTTTGACAGCCTGGCCTTGAGGGCACAGGCTTTTTTCCATCAACGTAAAGTGTCTCCACATGAGGCCAGTCCCCGCTGCTCTGCACCAGCTGCTGCTCTCCACAGCTGCTTGGGAAGATGAAATGAGACCCCATTTTTAGAGGTCAGGAATAAGAGCACAGCTATTTTTCTGTGCAGGAAGCAGCATTTCTACAGCAAGGCAGAACCTACAGTGATGGGTGAGCACAAGAGCTATGTTCCCTGCGAGTCCCCAGTGTGGCGGTGCTCAGGCTTCAGTGACAGTGGAGGCACAGGAGGAAGGGAGGAGGCTGGTGGGGATGGTACCAGGAGCCACTCCACATGTATGTGCACATACAAGGGGATGCCAGCAGCACAGACAGTTTGTCTGTAAGCACTGGCATTGACAAAATTGATTTTTGTGGGTTGAGAGCAGTAGGACAGATTTCATCTCTGTGTGGGTCTCCTGACACTTTGATACATGGCAGTGCTATCCCTGAATGGAGCTAAATACTCCAGGGCTACTTTCTGACTGGGTGAAGGGATGTATAAAATGAGAACATATGAGAGAGTATTAACAGAAAGGCACACTTTGATTTACTGGTGCTGGCTCCCAGCTTTCTTGGTGGATTGATATGCTGTCTGGTGGACCTGGAACAACTTTTTCACTCCTGAACACAAAGTGAAGGGGCTCCCATGGACTCTTAAAAGTGACTTTTACAACTTAGTGTCTCGCTACAGACACTCCGGAGGTGTTTCTTGCTGGTGATATACAGCCCAGTGCTAAAGGTGTCAGTTCTGACAATGATGTCTATCTAAGGTAGAATATTTACCCCAGCACATTATAGTGCAGATTATTCCTTGCCTGCTGACCATGGCCCAGACGAGCTGAAGTGCTACTCCGGTTGTAATTGACAGGATCAAAGCTGCCTGGGGTGCTTTAGCTGCTGGAGGGTAGGCAACAGGGAGAAAATAAACAGTTTGGGAAGCTCTGGAGACATTCATCTGTGTTGCAGTTGGGAAGATTTTGCTGCTGCAAGCTGAGCTCTGAGGCTGGGCTAGGGGCACTTTCCTTTTTCAAGGGATCTTTTAGCTGCAGGCACATACAATACATGCATTTTTAAGGGGCTTTTGTCTGTCTCTTGGATTTGTTTTGATGCTAACACATGATTCTTACAAGTACAGCAAACCTAATCCATTAATAGGTTTACATAGAGAAGGGGGCAGAATGTGTCTGTAGTGAACTGTGAGCCAGGGAAGGATGAGTCCAACAACTGATCTACAACAAAAATCTTAAAGCATCTTCTCCTTGACATTCCTGTTACTGAGGTCAGGCTGTAATCTATCTGAAGATGGTGACAACTGAGCAATATCACAGTGGTAACATGTGGGAGATTGAGACCTCTGAATGTCTGGGCTGATTTCTGCTTGCAGTGTCTCTGTCTAGCTGATGGAGATTTGCTGCTCACTCTGCCCATGATCTCTGGCTCCTCTGTTATAAAAAAGAAATAGAGTTGAGTGGTGAGAAGTTCTCTCCATTCTTTTATGGTAACTACAAAGAAAGAAACAGATTTGGGGGTTAAGCAGAGCAGCTCCACTCACTGTCTTGCCAGAAAACAGATCCTGAAGCCATGTGCTGCTACCTTCCCCCAGGCAGGGCCCGTTTTCCCCTTCCTGTAGTGCTTCTTTGTAAAAGTAGAAGGTAGTGCACCAGAGGCAGGTAAATAGAAATGAATCTGTATGAAGTTCAGCCTAGGCTTTTGGATAGAAGTGTGCCAAGTGTTTTACCTGTAAGAGCTGAGCTGTGATTGATGTGTAGCAATGTACAAAGGGAGAGTTTGTGTAGGCCCAGACAAACACTTGTTTTATATCAGAGCGTGCTGCAGGGAGGCTTGTTGGTCACCACAGAAGAACTGTTTTTAAAGAGCAGATGCTGCAGCAGTGTGCAGTTAACCCCTCCCACAGTCAGCTGCAACTCTGTGTCCTTGGAGAGCATAAGATCATTGGACAGAGACCATTTTCTCTGCATTTGCATAGGGGGAAATTGTCAAAGCCTCTGGATACACAGCATCAGATCTACATTCAGCATTTGTGTCTGCAAACACCCTGGAAAGCAGCTACTCATCCCTGTAAAACTAAACTTCCCACCACATATTAATCATTTTGTACACCTCTCCACCCGAGTCTTTTCTTCACTTTCTTTCTAAGGCTCTCTGAGCCTGCAGTTCTTCTTTTTTGATCAGAATCTCCTCATTAAACTTGCCAGGTCATTGTTTACGTGTCCCCCATAGATCAGATCTTGCTACATTTAATTTTACTTACAGTCTAATTTCTTACACTTCCTGTGTGGTGAGCACAGTGGCACAGAAACCAGTGGTAGTCACAGCCCTGCAGGAGTTTGGTTTTTCTTCTTGCCTTCCTCCTGCTCCCTATAACATACACATTATATACAAGAAAGGAAGGTCAGAGGTCAGGTTTAGATGAGATGTACACATACACGTTTTCCCTTGTGTTGCTTTATACTATTCAGAAGCTGGCATCTGCTTCAGAGCTTCACAGAGGAGAGAAATGGGTGAGTCAGCAAGAAAGGTTGTTGTCATATGTGTGTGTTATCAGACACTTCTGCACATAGTACTTGCTTCTTTAGTATGTTAATCCTTCAGGCTCTACAGTTTGGAATGTTTGTGGATGAAACGCTAGCTCAGTATATTCCCAGTGTGCAGCCAGGTGGATGCTTAAGAGGCAGTCCTGCCTCCTTGCCTCCCTTTTTTTTCCCAGCGTGGTGGTGGTTGACATTAACAGCTATAAATCAGTTTGAAGATAAAAACACATCTTTAAGAGAAAAACAGTTAATGGGACAGGCAGTAACTGTGGCAGAAATTCACATTCACGATGAGAAGCTAAGCGCAGCAAACCTAAGTGTTCACCGGTGGGAAATGGTCACTTGTGTCTCTTCTTCTGCAGGTTGTAAAGCCCTGGAGGCGTTGATGAAAGTATTAGTGGAGCTTCAGGATGAGCTGCTTTATCAATACCCAGGCACGAGGCATCTGGTAGACGGAAAACAATCCAAAACTGAGAGGTAACCACAAAACAAGACAGGACCTTTTGGAATCTTTTTGTTCTTCAATAAACAGGGCAATGCAGAACCTTCCTGACCATCCCATCCTCCCTCTCTGCTGTTCTCTCAGCTCTCAGTTGCTGCTCTACTCTGAACAAACATCTGGTTTGTAATCTTGCTGATAACAGAAAGAGCTAAAACTTGGGTCTTTTACCATAAATTTCACCATGGTGTGGAAGGAGCATGGGTGGTAGTGAAGGGGCTGTTAAGAATTCACATGTTTCCTTAGAGAGGTGTAGGGTGGTTAATCTGTGTGGTTTTGTTCCAGTGATGATGAAATCCCTAGCAGTAGTGATGAAGAGCAAGTGGATAAGGCTCAGGAGAAGAGGAGGAGCCTCCCCAAGCGAAAGCTGAAGCTGGAGGAGTACCCAGAGTTCATAGCCAAGCGCTATGCTGACTTCAGGACCTATCGGAACAGCGTCCTGCAGAAGTGGCATGAGAAGACAAAGCTGGCATCTGGCAAAGTGGGAAAGGCAAGTGTTTGTTAATGTGTGCTCACATGCTTACTGTTCAGCAGAGATTTGGGGAACAAGCTGATGTGGAAATTCTGTATCATGGATGTTCCAAATTAAGCTGAGAGTTACAGCAGTAAGAATTAAATACACAAGTATGCTGTCTTCCCCAGCCTTACAGGAGTCTGAAAGAAACTCAACCCTCAGATGTCAAAGGCATAAGCTCTTCTCCTTTGTTTTGAGCAGATGGGTAGAAAACATTTTCAGGGGCAAATGGTTTCCCAGGTTTTGGGAAAAATTCTTGGATAATGTTGGTGTTCTCCCAGTAGCCAGTCTCATCATAGCCAGTTTTCAGCAGCAAGTAAGCCCTGTGAAAATGCCACTAGTGCTTAGCAGCAAGCTGTTTGTGTTTTATAACAGAACTAGGGACTTTTGTGGCTCTCCTTCTCCATGAAGTGTACACTTTAATGCAGTGGGTAATCATTTCACCCGGAGATCCAGGGTCTGCTAACATCTGTGAGTCAGTATTAATCATTGAGAAGTTAATCTGAACCAGAACAGCAAAGGCATTTTGTTAAGCCAGGCGTCAGGTTGCCTCAGGTTGGGAAGGGAGAGAGAGAGAGAGAGAGAGAGAACAAATAAAATATCCTAGCAGAAATCCCTGCAACGAAACCCAGGCCCCCTCCTCTTGGAATGCTGTCTGCTTATCCACTGACATGGAAAGATAGAGGAACACTGCTGCCTTGAGGAAAAGCTTTCTGCATTATCTGACACTAGTTAATGTTATTGCAGGGTTTCGGTGCCTTTGAGCGTTCAATCTTGACTCAGATTGATCATATTATGATGGACAAAGAGAGATTACTACGGCGGACACAGACCAAGCGATCCGTGTATACAGTGCTGGGGAAGCAGGAACGGGAAACTCATCCCATCCCTGAGTCTTTGCCTGAAAATTTGGTAAGGGCTTTTTCTTTCTATAACTCACCCTATAGCAGCAGAGAAACGCTGCAAAACAATTAGCTCAAGCCTTTAGCAGGTAATATTCTTGTTTGTGTGAGGTTTATGGAGGAGATACCCAAGTGTTGATTCCTTTAATGTAATGGCTAAGAAGAAGATGTCGACATTTCCATTCCATTTTTATGGTGTTTGTGTTATCTCCTGTGCCAGTTCTGGACAGGGGAAAATGAGGTTTTGTCTGTGATTGTGCTCTTTCTGTGCTCTTTGAAGTGATGATGCTGTCACTAAATCTGCTTTTTCAGGTAGTGGCTACAGAGCTGGTTTTACTCTGGAGTTTAGAATCTTTAACCCAGAAAGTCACTTCTGAAGTCACACTGCATATAACCTGCAGAATATATTAGTAGTAAGCTTGTTATTAATTTAGTATTTAAGAATGAATAAATACTCGATTCTGAGAGATCATGCAGAATTACTGCACTTGCAAGATGTATTTTTGCCATTACATTAAAAATATCTGTAGTATTTTGCCAGAAAGACTTTGCACAGTCCTATTTATTTCCCAGTAAAGGTCTCATAAATCTGTTTCGGCGCTGGCAGCATTTCTGCTTTGCCTTTAAATGTATTCCTAGTCCTTAACAGCTTGTTATGTTGGGAGGTTTTCTCCATGCCTTCCTGTCTTCAAGTGTGTTTACAAGCTGCTGCACGTGATGTCATCAGAGTTAGGGACAGAATTACACACACATGAGCTTTCAGTATTTCCTTTGTGCTTCTAGGAAGTCCTTCCTGAGTCAGAGTCCAACAGGCACCTGAAGGACATAGATGAGGAGATATTTGATGACGATGACTTTTATCACCAGGTAGGTGATGGTAAATCTGTGTTGAAATTATGGCTCCAGTTGGTTTTTAATACTTACAGAGCTAATGTGGTTGGTTCTGTGCTCTACATTTCTCTTACCAGTGAAACTCAGTTACTCTTTAACACCTGGAATCTCTGTAGGTACCTCAGAGGACCTCACTCACAACTTTTGATATATGGCTGCATGAGCTTAAGGTTGCACTGTGGATGGAAACTTACTGCTGTACTTGAGTGAGTCAGGGCCACAGGATAAGGTCTATCTCTGTTCTTGCTGGTGAATGTTGCTATACCAGAGAAAAATGACTGAAGTCTCTAAAGGTGACTGTTCTCTGTGGGTAGAGTCCCATTATGAAAAACGAGTCTGGTAGATCCTCAAGAGCACCTGAGTTACTCTCAGCTCAACCTAAATCATCTACCTACTGAATGAAGAAGCTGCAAGGACTTTTCTTGGTATTGTGCCAGCTTGGGTTTAGGCCAGTTACTCTTTTTATTTGCAAAATTCCTAGACACAAAGAATGTGCACCCAGTGCATGGAGGCTGCAGCTTAGGGAAACCTCATGTTTGTGCTTCATTTAAGAAATGAGAGTGCCGGCTTTATGCATTACGGAAATGGCCATATATTGAGGAGTCTGATTCACTATAAGTCCTTCCCCACTGCACAAAACCCAATTTTATTCTGATGATCCACAGAGAGCTTTAACTTCAGGACTAAACAAGTACCATTATCACATTAGAAAGGCTGAATTTTCTGATCTGAATAGCATTAGAGTGGCTAGGAAAGTGTTAGAACAGTGGAAGAGAGCTGTTGCCACGTGCCTGTGCTCTGTTAACTGATTTAACCAGAAGCATTTGGATAGTTCTAAAATTTGAGGTTTCGTGTACAGAGCCAGGACTAAAGGTGAATAAAGGATTTATTAAATTGCCAATTCTTACCTGTGTTTTACAGAAGGGAAATACAGGGAACTCTAATGCTGCTGGTTTTTTTTCCCTTCCAACAAAGTTTTTCAACACGCTTCCAACCCTACTGTCCAAGACAAATATTTGCAGTAGATCTCACCTAGTGCAGAATTAGGACCATGTGAATACTTAATGTTTGTGAGGGATGTACTCAAGGCAGCCTGCCTCAGAGCCAGGACTCTGTACTGAGCAAGCTCTTCTCCAGGCTGTGTATTTACTGTAGGAGCATCTCTGCAGGCACTGCTGTCAATTGAGGAACATCTCTTGGGCAGGTGAAGGTGCTGGGTTCATCTATGAAGGCTCTGAGTGCTCCTCTTGTGGTCATCAGTGGTTGAAGAGGCCAAATCTGTAAGGCAGGGAGATAATACTGAGGTGGAATTTGGGGTCCAGGTGGACCCAGAAGCCCAGCTTTGGGGGCCACCATAAGAACACTGAGTAAATGAAGTTTGTTTAACAAAACTGTGAAGTGGTCAAGGAGAAATAGCTGCGATTGACAGCCTGTGGACCTGTGCAGGGGAGGTGCTTGTTGGCCATGAAATGTTACATGTGTAAAAGAAAAGCAGCAATAGATGAATGGCCCATCTTCCCTTCTAATAACTTCAACTTCGATGCATCGTGATTTCAGAAATATGAGTAGTCCCAGCTTAGCTTTTCCCCTCACTGGTTAATTGGGGTGCTGGGGTTAATCTAAATTAAAACTTAAACTAATAGAGGTCATTGAGGGAAGAGAATCACCTGAGTAAAACAAATGGGGCTGCCAGGCACAACTGTATCTTGGCCATTTCCCAAGAGGGAAGTGGCAGCAAATTGGAGTTGTTTCAGCATTCGGCAGAGGTGAAGGATGGGTGACACTGGTTTAATGTACGGCACCTCCGGAAGCGTTCCAGATTGCATTCCTTGCTGTACCAACTGCTGCCTCCCGCGCACAGCGACTGGGAGCAGGACCAGCCAACAACATCTGGCAGCACAGCAAGGAATGGGTGCAACCTTCAACACCCCATGGACTCTAAATATGGTGCTTAGGCTGGTGGAGGCTTTAATCACTTACCACTCTTTGGCAGCGGGCTACGACAGCTTATCCGAGCCTCGTACATCACGCACAGACATCTGCTGAGCCGTGAGGCAGCCACACATTCATTTTCCTTTCTTGCTTGTTGGGGTTTTTTTATACCCCACCCTCCCTTCTCTTCCACTGTTTTTCTCTCCTCCCATCCCCAATATGCTTCTTGGGAGAGATGATCTGGAAAGATTACTGCTTCATTGTGTGCAAGTAATTGTGGGGATGCCAGCCCCTTGCCAGACAGCGTGCGGCACCTGTGCCGCTGACCTGGTTAATGTCTTCAGTTGAGTGGGATTTGGCAGAGATGGGAGCTGAAGCCGGTTCAATGATAAGGCTAAAGAAAACTGCTGTATGGTTCCTGTCACCTCCCAGTTAAATTGGTTTCATGAAGGGCTTTCCTTTATTTGTCACGGTGCTAAACTGAAGCTGAACATTGCACCCAGAGAGGGTAGAGTGCGTTACAATCGAGTGCTGACAATGCAGTGAGTGTGTTTTCTCTCAGATGGGTCATAACTGGGCAGCACTTTGTGTGTGTGGACATACAAATATAAAACGTTGAAAGGGACCTGGTTCTTTAGGAGTAATCAGCAATGTGTCTGGTTGTTGGAGCTGAGGTTGCCCAGGATCTCTGACCTCTGGGCATTATGCTTATCGCAGAGAGTACGTGTACACTTCAGTGGGGACTTTTTTCCTTGTATTTGCGTTTAGATCCAGAGTTTTTTTTAGTATGACTTTCATTTTTCTAATTAACATTTGTTAATGATCAGTTTATTTTGAATACTGCTTAGGGTTTAGCAAACATCCAGATAAAGGAGGACATTGGAAACCAACTCCTGTGTATTTCAGTGGGAAATCAAGTAAAAATGAAGGAGAGCTGATGAATGTGCACAAGTTACCAATAATGGAATAAGCAGCTTCACCATTTTGTTACAGATTATCCTAAAGAAACTCTTCAATGAATCTGTTTTTCCTGTGGAAAACCAATTTTCCTGTCCAGGTCTTGGTATTCAGTGGAGTTCACTGTGTGGGGCTGGTGGAATTTTATGGCAGTTCACAGTTTAACTCTGTTGTGTCTGTTCATCCCATTTTGCCTTTTCTCATCTTCTTCACTTGTTTTATAAGCAGTTATAATTTTTATTGTGGTGGCCCATGGTAAATAGTAATGTGAAGCTGAGCTGAGTAATGCAGGGGAAATACTGTCACCTGGGTTGCACTGGCTGGGAATAGTGAAACTGTGTCAGCGGATCCTCATTCCTGCCAGCAGTGAGAGGCTCCACTCCGTTTCCTTTCCTTTTAAACTCTCCTTCATACATGGCTTTAAGGGAAGAAAAAGGCTTTTCTTATTTTTACAAGTCATGTTTACGTAGAATTCATTACAGCTGATATTGCAGCATTAAGACTTAAAATTCCAGCCTGCTACCAGAGAGCTGCTGGTCTGACATGCTACAGTGGATATTTTATTATTAGGTTGAAATACTCCTCTAGTAAAGGAGAGAGTGGAAATTGGTTTATTCCCAACAGGAATTAGGTTAGTGTTCATATGCTAAGCGTTCCACTGGTAGCAGCTCTTCCCAGAACAAATGTTCATCATTGATGGCAGCAGGTACGCCTAAGAATTAGGAATATACATAATCCCTTTCTTCCTTTGCTCGCCTGCTCCCTCCTCTCCCTAATTTTGGGTACGTTGTATGTCACTGCATTCTGTAACAACCCACAATCACCAGTGTTGTCTGTGATCACCATGACTTCAGCAGCTGAGTTGGAAGCAAGCTGGGGAATGTTCAAGGAAACGCTGAAGGCTTCAGAGGAGGCCAGCAGTTTGCCAGGCAGGGTTGCCAGTAGCTCCCAGAGGGTTGTCATATGTTGCAGTGTGCTGGGGTTTGTTCCCAAGGTGAGCATCAGTAGCAAGAAGAGTTTTTTTTCCCTTGCATATCTATACCCTCATTACTTAGGGAAGGAATTAATCCTGGAGAAAATGTTGTTTAACTGTGGGACTTGCAGCTTTGCTGTTGTGAAGTGGCAGTGTTTGTGCCTGCCCACTCTTGCACAGTCTGTGACTGGCATGATTTTCACAAGTGAGCAGGAAATCTCACTAACTTCCTTTTTCTTAGCTCAGCATCCCAACTACCTGCTGTAACTGGAGTAACCACAAGCTTGCAACCCTGAATCTCTTGTTAAGATGCTTCTAGCTCAGTTTGTTTCTGTTCCGAGTTGTATTTGTGTCTAAACCACAGTGTGGCGTTTTAGAAAACCACCTGAGGGGATAAACTTTAACTCATGTCCCAAGCAAGAGTTGGCCTAAAGCAGTTTCTGGGGCACAAACTGTGGTTTTCTCTCTCAGGTATTTGATAATGCCCTAAACAAGTAATTACTAATGCAGTGAACTATTAAAAGTCGATAATGGTGAGGAATAGAGAGAAGAGTGGCTTTGTGACAAGCTGGTTTACCTTAATTAAACTGGTGAGTGATTAATATGGACAGTTGATCTCGTGGCTTTAATGAGATGCATTTAGAGTTTTGTGTGAAGAAGAGATGTCTCGAACCATCCCACAGGTTAATGGCAATACAATACTCTTATCACAGGCATGTATCTTTCAAATGGCTGGGTAGATGGTTAATAACACGTTTTAAAGCTTGATTTGAAACTTCTCTTAATGGGCTATGAGAAAATATGCAAGTCAATGCCTATTCTGTACAAAACTCAACTTTGAGAAAAGGCTTTCTAAAAGGAGGCTGTCCAGTGGTTTCATCTCATATTTTTGGTTTTTACATTATAAATAATGGCAGAAAGTGGTTCAAGGAGATTTAAAGATAATACTTGAGCTGCAGTCTGAATTTTCTCTGGTGTTGCTAGAAATCCAAATCGTGTTATGGTCCTGTGGGGTGGGAGCTTGGAGGAGGAGAAGAAACAGCTTTGTTTCTACATCTGGGCAGGACATGGTGTAAAATGTGGGCTGGGTGAGTCCTGGGCTATAGCACCTTGTCGTAATTGATGCTGGTTTAACTAATTGTATGGCATATAAATAGGAAAAAGAGGAAAAAAATGGATCTCTCCAAAGGCTAAAGGAGAAACAAACAAACAAAAGTACTGAAATCATACTGCTAAAACACAGCTTTGTCAACTTTTGTTTTCAGGAAAGAGGAAAAGCATTTGGGGTTTGTAGTCTTCCTTCCTGGACTCAACCAGTTGTACTTACCTTCTCCCTTGCTGTTTCCTACAGTGATCTTGTTAAAAAAGACCTGCTTTTTAACCCGTTTTAAAAGATGATTTAACAACAGCACATTTCTTCAGTGTGCGACATGTCATGTTGTGGTTCTGTGAAGCAGGGTGAAGGTAATTTGTCTGAGCTTTTGAAGGATCTTAAGGTCCTTTCCAACCCTAACTATTCTATGATTCCATGTTAAAAGATAGTGGAATGCCATTAGTAGACCTTTGCACCATAGTAATTGTTTACTGTCTCTAGGAACAAACACACATTCAGCTGGAGAAGCCCACAGAAGCGATTGACCAATACTTTACAGTTCCTCACTAATAAAGAGAGTGTTTTTTAGCCAAGGGGTGACAGAGTGTTCTGTTAAAGGCAAGCAGCTGAAGTCTGCCTTTCTCCCACTTTTCTCATTGTTTCACAATCCACAAGTATAGAATCTTCGTGTGATCCTGCTGCTTTAGCAAGTGACCAAGATGGCAGAAGCCATACGAGGTTCTGCTTGTCTGTTGTTTTACACAGTTGCTTTAACGTGAGCATTGTCAGACCCTTGTTTGATATGGTTATCAGCACAGAGAGCCTGATGGGCCTTGTTTTGACTCCTCTGTTGTGCTGCTCACCTCTTCTCATACCTGAGCTGGTGAGTTCAAAGGCAGCAGTGCCACTTGCAAGGCAGAGCAGGTACCTTTGATGCACTGTAGCAGGAATGACCTGTACCTTTCCTGGCTTTTCTGAAGGTCTGAATAACATCAAAGTGTTCCTTTTGTTCTGATTGTATTCCTAAGCTTTGTAAACTCGACTGTTTCCTGTGATACACTATAGATGAACTTTTGTGAGGTTTTAATCTGAATTGATCTGTAAGGTCTAAGAAGAGGGAGTCTTTTGTCACCAGGCTTATTTCAGCTATATTTAGCTCTTTGTCTCAACTGGAAATTCTTAGGGGTCTGCAAATCAGAAAGGTCAGCAACTGTACTATTAGAAACACTGATAGATAGTGCATGAAAATGAGACCTAACCTCTAAGATGAAAATTGACCTCTAAAATGAGAAATGAATCTCTATTACCCTTGAACAACACCCTGATGGCATTTCTAAATCCCTTTAATTTTGTACAATGTACTTTGTGTGCATCTCTTTAACCAGCGCAGACAGGGAGTCCTTTTAAGGTGAATTCTTTAGAAATGCACCCATCATGGGCTCTAGTGTCAATTTAACAGTGCCTTTGGTGTCAGCAGAGGTGGGTGAGCACTAACCACTGCTGGAGCTCTCACCTTTGGACATGTTTTGTGGGAGCACTGCCTTGCTCTCTGCTAGTGCAGCAGATTTAAAGCTCTCTCCCCATCTGCTCCCAGCCCTCCTCATACATGGCTTTGTGGTCCTTGGCAAACCACACAATCTCCGTGTGCTTTCCTCTGCTCACGTGGTTGGTAGTCCCTGGTTTTGGAGTCTGGTTGGGTTGGGTTTAACAGCAAAGCTTTGTTGAGTTCAGAAATGCGCGTGCAGGAGCACTCTTGTCATCGGCGCTTCGTTCCAAAGACAAATCAACTCACATTAACAACTTTCTTCTGCTTACCATTGTCCACTCCGCACATGGTTTGTCTTCCTGCTTCCAGCTTTTGGTAGGAGAAGCTTGGAGTTGAGCTGCAGGCTGCTGGATGTGCTTGCACTTCATTGCAGTAGGCGGTTGTGTTTGCTTACATGGGAGACTGAGCTTAAGGCTTTTGAAGTTCAGGGAAGATGTGAAGAGGTGAAGGGGAGAAAGCAAGAAGGATACGTTTCAAATCGAAGCCTTTTGATGCTGGAATTGCCTAACTCAAACTCTTGTCTTCACACATCAGGGCTTAATGCTGATAGTGATTTACTTACACTTCCTAGTTAATAATTAGACATTGGGAGACACCATATATCACTCCTAATGGAATATATGGGGTCTGATGAGAGTTTTCCGTTTTGACTAATAAATTTTAACCAGAATCGCCAAGCTTAATGAAATATTACCACTTCGGAAGGGTTTTAAGTCTTGTGCTGTGAAAACAGTGTTGCTTTATTCAGTAAATGAATTTATCATTCCCTCTGTATCCTGAGCCCGAGCTGGCTCTGGAGCATGGGCTGAATGCAAGACTCCGCTAGAAAGTGGAAAAACTAATCAAATCCTTAAAGACCAAAGGCAGCGAGGCAGGTCTAGACTGACTTTTTCAGTGGTAGCCTCTGGCTACATCCACTTTTATGTTAGTAACCATTGTTAGCATGATTTATAACTTTAGCTTTAAGACATACGCTATTTAGATGTAGTAAGATGCTTTGCAGCTTTTATTTCTGCTTCCTAATTTCCCTCTGGTTCCTGCTTTATTTCATTTACCCCCATCCTCTTTGCCTCTCTCTCCTCTCCCCAGCAGCATCCCCAGTCCTGCAGTTGATGCTGTGCTGAAGGGACACTTCGCTGTCAGCACCAAGGTCAACCAAACTGCCTCAGCTAATGGCTGATGGACTGGTGGTCTGGTTAGGGCAGAGAGGACCACTGTGTGCAGGGCTTAGTCTCCTACTGCTGCACAAAGCTTTTCCCTTCTAATTCTGTGAATGGAGAAGAGGATATGCCCTCCAGCAAATAGGGATCCCTGCTAAGCAGGGCATAGGTCAGCTCTATGTCCTTCCCGATCCATCATGGGGAACACTGCCATGGCAAAAGGAGAGTGATTCTGTTCAACAGGATGCTGCCCCCTTCCCAGGTACAGCACGAGGAACCTGCCCTAAAAACGCATCTTGTTCTAAGCAGTGTGACCAAAGCTGTAAGATCATGGCAGCACTCCTTAGTCTACCCAGCTCTGGGTTTGGTGGGTCCAAGTCCTGCTGAAAATGCCTTGCTGCTTCATTCTGTCAGAGCATAGGATGTCTGTGCACTGTCTTCTCATTCCTTAGTCTCTGCTGTTACTGCTCAGTGGGTTTTGCAGTGCATTGTGCCAAGGAAGCAAGATAACAGGGGGCAGTAAACACACTGTATTGCTGGTACAGGAAGAAACCACTAAACTCCTGCTGCACCATTTCTTGCTGCTGCTAAAACCCTCCCTCCCACCTTGCTTTTGACAGAATATTGACTAGGAACCAAGATCCCATTTCTGCTTAGCCTTAAGGGCAGCTGTTTACAGAGTGGTGGTGTTACACAGGTTTACTGTGTCGTATGTCTGTGTAACACTGGATTTGGATCTTGTATTTAGCTGCCAGGAGTGACTGTGATGAAGTGGGAGAGATAAACTGATAGATTGTGTGCCAGAAAGATGTTGGGAATCAGTCAGATAAACAGGGCAGAGAAGTAGCTTGCTGTTTTCTAGTGATAATAAACCAGTGGCCTCTCTTCCTGGGGTGTTTAAATGTAATTGCTGCAGTCAGAATCTCAAAAAATAAGCAACTAGAAACAGTCATATCAGGTTTTTAGTTATGATTGAATCCCTCTTTTTCTGGTAATATGATATGTGCCATGAAGAAGAGGAAAGATGTGGACAGGTATAATAAATACAGTCTCCTAAAATGATACCCATCTACCTTTATGGCAGTTTTCTTCTGGGGGGTGCAGACCTTTTCTCTTCCTTACTTCAGTAGTACTTAAGTGATCAGAAACCACAGGAGTCAGTGAGTTTCTCATGCAGCAGTGAGCCTGGGACAGCTTTTGGCCTCAGCTGTGCTCAGTGGAGCAGCATAGGTGGAGGAAAAACACTTTTCCTCTGTTCTTCTCTAGCATTAATGTGGAATTGCCTGGACTGTGGTTTGCAGGAGGCTCTGTTTTGGGTTCTGAGCTGTGGCAGTAACTTCCATCGTCAGTGAAATGTCAGCCTCGATAAAGCAGTCTGTGCCTCTTGGTTTTGGAAGGTTTATTTCTGTTCTCTGTGTTAATATGTTGGCTGATACCCAAGGCACAGCACGTACAATTTACAGTGAGTGGTGATAAACATACAGCACCGGTCAAGTATCCAAAAAGACTGTTCACAATATTCTTTGGCTGCAGGAAGCAAAAAATACAAACCCCAACCCTCAGGACATGAAAAGAAATAGAAGAGTCTGCTTGAGTGTTCCTGCTCCAGCTATAAAAGTTATTTTGCTGTGCTGTTCCTTGGAGCGAGCATTACTGCCCAGAAATGCTTGACTTCTGTCTGGTGAAGTGTTTCACTTCCCCCCTGCCCTCCCTACTCAAAGTGTGGGGCAGAGGTCTTGCTGCAGATCTGCCTGCCTTGTATCTCTTGCCCATGAGAGTTGTATACACAACAGATTGTGAACTTTTAGGTCTGTTTAATTCTTCCAAAGCCCAAGGAACAGCACCAGCCTTGAAAACACAAGCTGAGGCTCAGCTGCTCACATCCCTCCAAGCTTATCTCCCGTTTGCCCTCTGTGGGATTGTGCACTTTGCTCTGGGCTCCTGGGACTAGCAGTTACCCAACGACTCGACCATCTGACAGCCCCAGGGGAAGCTTTGCAGTGACCCCAGGGACTCGACTCTATACTACTCCTATATCCATCTGAAATTATATGCAGAAACTCTTTGTAGTGGCCTTTGGTGTTATGCTTTAGTCATACATGCTGTGGGGACCTTTTTGGATGAGGGTGATGATCTGCAGTAACTTAAACTTTTAGCATCACCATCAGCTTTTTCATGCAGAGGAAACGTTTCAAGAAATGAAGCGTCCAGGTGTTTTGAGAAACCTGTGAGCCTCTTGGCATTAACATGTCTTTTTTGTGCTTTTCAATGGGATTGTTGTCTTTCTTCTAGCTCCTTCGAGAATTCATAGAACGTAAAACCACTTCACTGGACCCCAATGACCAGGTGGCGATGGGCAGGTAAGTAGCAAGTTGTCTGTAACATCAGTAGCTTCACCCCAGCACTGCATTCCAGTCCAGAACTACTTGTGAGTTTCTAGTCCTATTCATTGTAGAGGGTCACATTTGGAATGGCTGTAGAAAGCATCATCTGGGCGTAAGAAACTGCATAACAAATAATTAAACCAGTATGACATCAGTCAGGAAAGTCATCCTCTGTAACAGATTCCTGAGTTACGGATCACAGTGACTCCAAGTTTGCCAGACTTTGAGCTGTGCCCTGGATTCTCTGTGATCCCCTGAAGATAGTTCCAGTTGTAAAAGGCTTGTTCCAGACATTGGGTATTTCTGTCTCTCAGTGGTTCATGCAGTACAAATGGGATCCATAGAGAGGTGTCTTAACCCACCCTAGTGAGGGGGAACTAGACAAAGTGACTGCCTGCTGCTGATATTGGGCCTGTTCTCGTTACAAGCTCTCACTTGTCATTGTTTTAGAGGAGCAAACCTGCTGTCACGAGCTCAGTTAAAGCAATTCCTATGTATGCTCTCTCCCTGCTGTAAGAAAAGATACTATCCAGTTAAAACAATATCAGGGAATATTTCCTGGATGCAGAAGTAAATACAATTCCGTGCAGGGAAACTGTTATTTCTGTTAAATTCTATAGTTAGAAAAGAATCTTCCAAATACCTCTTAATGAACAGGGTGCATTTAAAATAGCTGTGGGCTTTAATTTAGAGTAGTAGAAAAGCAGAGGAAGGCTGGAGTAGGGCTCTCCACTACAAAAGTGCTATGGGGTATATGTATAGGGAGGGGAAGAAAATGCATTAGGAAATTTTGTGATGGTGAAATAACTTTTATCCTTGTGAAATATTACCCAAATTTTAGTGCAATGTGTCAAATTTATTTTGTGTATGTCTGGAATATTATGGAAAGCTCTTCACTATAATTTAACATGATATAGACAAAATTACATTTAAGTGGTGATTACATTGTACATTTATCTGACTTTACAATAAAATAGATTACAGTAATTAAGATTATATTAAGATTGCAGTAATTGGATTTTGCTAGATTTTTTCCCCTGATGTCGAGTTTTCATTGTATAAATCAGGTAAAATGATGCTCGTTCCTGTGAAGAAATATTTATAACTGGTAGAAGTTTGTCCCTGCTGAAAACTTCTTTGGTTTAATGAAGTTCTGTCTGAGAAGTTGGGCTTTCCCTTCTCAATATAGGCAGGGATCAGACAGCACTTTCTCAGAGTGTTATTGCCTTTTTTTGGCACGTTGTTTAAATGCCCTGTCTGTGGAGTGAAGCAGCTTCACAGGCATTTGGAGTTTCACACTTGTTTTCCTGAGGTTCTGATCTCTTTCACTTGTGTAAATGCAATAGGCAGCTGGGCTGGGAAGGGCCTCAGACCCCACGGTACCTAATGCTCATTTTCCTCATGGCTCTTTAGTTGTGTAAGTGTCCTTTTGCATTCTGCAGGCAGTGGCTGGCCATCCAGAAGTTACGAAGCAAAATAAAGAAGAAAGTGGACAGGAAAGCCAGTAAAGGGAGGAGAATCAGGTGGGTGCCAGCTTTTGCAAGCAAACAGTTCTGATTTTGCCACATAAAGTCTGACTGCACTGGGTTGGCTCTGGGGTGCACTGGGAGGCTTCTTCATGCCTTTTAGGGGCAAGATGTCATGCTCTGGGATATCCACTGGGACATCTTAATGCTCTTTGAGCCTAGAATAAGGGCTTGGTTGGATGCAGCTTGTGAGCATTGCCCAGATTAGTCTTGGCAAGAGCGTTCACTGGTCTCAGAAAACACTGGATAGAGGTGTTGAAATGTCCCCAAGCGATTTGGGGCCATAATTCCCAATGAAAGCCAATAAACACCTCTTGTGCAATATATATTTAGCTGATTGAAATGTGGGTAGCAGCTCTAGGGGAAGATGTATCGAAACACCTCGGTGAGGTAGATGCCTCTTTTCCACTGACTGTCGGCTGGAATTTGGTGACTAATTTCTCTTTAATGTCTTAAGTCACATCACAGCTTTCTTTAGCTTCAGCTTATTTCACATCCTGACTCCTGGATCACTCATTTGGGTTGAACTCTCCCCTTATGTTTCCAGTGGAAGACTCTTCCATGTGGTAGGGTGGGAAGGGAAGCAGCCTGGAAAGGATAGGTTGGGCTTTTTTCCCATCTTTGCAGAGCAGATACATGAGTCTCCCTGAGTTGAGCATGACTGCATGATTTGTGGTGGAAGAGGTGTCAGTGGCAGGGAGGCAGCAGCAAAGCTGCACCGCTTCCTGCAAAACCCGCAACATTAACCATCCTTTTGTGAGTAAACTATAAATCCTGAGTTTAGATGGCATCTGATAGAAAGTCAGTGGAGTCAGTCTGGGTCAGGCCTGGCATAGCAATTTTTAAGATAGATGTCATAAGATAATTTATTGAAAGAGGGAAGAGCTACTTTGTTGGCCTGAAAAGCCTATAATTATTGACTATCAATATTCTTTTCTGTCAGCATCACACATAATTGGATATATTCATGATTCAGTCAAAACTACTGACAACATCACACAACTGAGTCAGACTCATAAACCTCCAGGAATAATGGGGAAGTCTCTCATTGTGTGCAGTCTGTGTGCTTCAGCATTCCTGAGAGATGGCTCTCTGGCCAAGTCAATTGCCTCTTAGATCTTAGGGGCCTTTTTTTTTTCCTTCTTTAAATAAAAGTTGCACTGACCCTGCAGGGAAAATGTCAATAACAGAAAAAAGTGCCATTGTCTGTGTTTTGGATTAACATGCAGTTAACTCCAGCATCTCTTCAGTATAGTCCACTGGAGCCCAAAGCTGGTTCTTCCACTGAGAGACTCCGTGTCACCCCAAGTAGATCACTTATCCTCTATTCTTCCTTTCCCTTCAACTAAAACTGAAGCAGCAGTGTCTAGATTTGGTTTCATGAAGGGCTTGGAGATCCTGGAGAGCAAAGTATTAATACTAAGTTTCCTCTGTCTCCATAATTCTTCCTTTTTGTTTCTTCCTTCATAATTCTGTTTGGCAAATAAAGCAGTCCTTTAGCAAACCTTCAATATTAGAGCATGTTTGGATGAGATGCGCTAATTTATTAGGGTCTGAAGATCTTCAAATGCTTTGAAAAGCAGCTGATCTTCCACTTGCCATGAGTACCTGTCCCTTCCATGGACAGGTAAACTGGGGTACTAAGAGGGGAAGTGAGCTCATCTAAAAACTCCAGTTGAGCTTAGGAAACCTAGTGCCTGGAACTCTGCTGTCCCTCGCTAGGACTCGCCTTTTCTTGCAGTAGACATGAAGGAGTGATGTGTGCACCCTGTTTTTCATGTCAGTGATTCCTGGTCCTGTGCTGCTGCCACGTGGGATGTCTTCCTTTGAATGAAATAGTTTAGATCTGCTCGACTGGGGTGTGTAAAGTGCTCATTTAAAGAAACGTGCCATTAATGAGTTCTGGGCAGACAAACTCATGTCAGAGAATTCATCTGAGCTGCCAGGTCCCTCTGCCACTCTGCTGTCCCTGTATAAGCGTTGATCTCTATGAACCCATCACTTGATAATGTCTCATAAGCAAACTATTTGATAGTCCAGCCTGTTGACCTGGGGTTTGTTTCAGAACTGGCCCTCCACAGCCATGTCTGTCCCCTGCCTCCACCATCACAGTCAGACCAGGGCAGTTCCCTCCATTAACAGTGACAAAGACTTGATTGTGCAGAGAAGCCCTTGTGTAAGGGTGAGTGTGTGCTGTGCCTGAAGAGCCATTCTGAAATAGTCTTGTGAGCTAAAAATCCCCTTGAGGGAATGTTCCTGCATAAGCAAACAGAAGGGAGTGCAAAGGTGGCAGAGTGGAAAGGTGATTCTGGGCAAATGCTTGTGAATCCTTTTGCCTGCTATTTGTCAAGCTCTAAAAATAGCAGGAGCTTGGATAAAACATTTCAGACCTGGGTGGGCAGCATTGTAGAGTACACCGAAAGACACTGGTTTGGAATCCCCTGCCTGTACACACCAGTGCTTAAAGCCACCTTTTCATTCTGAATTTTTTCAGTCCTCTGTTAAATTTTATGCCAAGCCCTTGAATGTAAGTCATGAAAACACTGCAGGTTCCTTTCCTAGCCCAGAGTTGGGAGCAGGAAGGGGAGCCAGTACCTGAAGGCACGATACAGCTTGCAAAAATGGTTTGGTGGATCAGGAGTGGAGGCAGATAAAGCACTGTCTCACATCTCTTCTTTGCGCAGGTCTTTCTCCTTTGCTTCTTTTTACGTGCTCCATTTAGAAGTTATTCAGCGTAAGGCTTCCCAGCTGCAGGTATGGCTCACAGGGTAGGCTTTTGATATCCGTTAAGGCCTTAGATACCACAGAGCAAGGAAGAAAGTGATAGCAGATGGATGCTCAAGAAGATCTGATGCTCTGTTGCTTCTGCTGCCCGCAGTGGGCTCTTTGGGCACAAACTCCAGAAGGTGATTAAGATGCCAGCTGAAGGGAAGGCTGAAAACGAGTTCTTGTTTCTTTGTCTCTTGAGTTTTCAGGGTTGTCTGTTTGGGAGCCTGATTAGGTACTTGCACACAATTAATGGATGCTGTCTGTCCTCTTTCTGGCTGTGATAAAAAACGATTTGTTTGCCATTCAGTTCATTGTATCATCTGATTGTTCTTGTGTCCGTGTTATAAGACAGGAAGAGGAGGAAAAGGAGAGGGAATTGCCAGTTACAACTACTGACTCATTAGATACCAGCCACCAGGAAAGCCAGTGCTTTGCATCTCAGGGGCTGGTATGTTTCTATTCAAGCAGCAACACTTCCTTTTCATTAATAGTTACTAATGTGCTGTCTGCTTATTTCCTGCACTATTCAGGTATCATGTCCATAGCAAGCTGGTGAGCTTCATGGCACCTATTGACCACTGTACAATGAATGATGATGCCAGGTGAGTAATAGATTAATTACGTTTCTCAAATGGCTTCATGACAGCATGATATTGACCTGTTCTTCAGTCTGTCGCCCCCTCCATTTCTTCTTATCAGTTAACCATTTGTCACTGGCATCATAGCCTGGGTGTCTTGGTCACATCTGCCCAGGCATTCTGGCTGAGCTTTCACTCTGTAATTACCGTGACACCAAACAAGAACTTTCCATAAATCTCAGTAGCTACGTTTTGATTCCTGGTTTAAAACTCCTCTGATTTTGAAATCTCATTTTGGGGAATTATTTTGGAAACAGACAACTAGGTTATATGATCTCTTCAGGTATAACCAAAACTTACAGATAACTTGTCTTCTAACAGAAATGGCAACTGGTTTAGATGTGTTTAGTATGTGTTTCCTTAAAGCAGTTAATGACTGGAATAGCTCAGTCAAGAAACACTCAAGACCTAAATGTTGCTTATGTTTGTGTCTGTTTAAAGAGCAAGGAATTTTATTGGAAGACTGTACTGTTTTAATGTGCTCATTAGTGAAGCAAATATCAATGAAGTTTTGTGCATGGTTACTAGGTAGCTTTTCTGCATCTACACCCATTTTTCTTTGGTATTACATTTTTAGACTAAAGCTGGAAATGCCAAGCGTTTTGTGGGAAGGAGGTGGGATAATTTTTCCAGTGAATGGATGTAGAAAGCTTGAGAAACATCTTTCCCCTGGGTTGCAGAACATGTTTGTGCTTTGTGAGAGAGAGAGATGTCATCTGTCTGTTTGTGAAATGACAATCACATACCTGCTGGTTTTAGGCTGTTGCCTTTTGGGGTATTGCACAGGCTTCTGGATGAGAGCTCTCCAGTAAGCTGGCACTAAGATGTTTTATGGTCATAATATGACCTGTGCTGTTTCATCATGAATCTTTCTCATAGTTCTTTATTCTTATTTTTTTCAAGTGAGAAAACTGCTCTGATTCCTGAATAGTGTCTAAATCCTCTTGCCATGAAAATAAATGTGGTGCATGTATGGGGTGAAAGCTGTGCCTCCAGCCATTTAAAGTGGTCAGTTTTTCCACTCTCTTACCTGGAATATAGGAAGAGAGGGACGGAAGTGGCTTGAGCACTGTGAGATTAGACACACTGTGTACACTGTATATCGCGCTGTCCTGCAGATTAAGCAGGTAGCTCTGTCCCCAGAATGAAGGCACTCTTAGCTTGTAATGGGGTGAACACAGGGGGGGGAGGAAGGTGAAAAACCCCCAGTGAGACTGATCCTAATAATGTAGTAGTTACACCATGTTTGCTGTCCCCAGAGGTGACATTGCCTGCTCCTTCACAGTCCACTGCGTTCACTTGTGATCCAAAAGTTGCATAGAAAATGCATTCTGTAAGCCAGAATCCTCCAGCAAACGTGAAGTGCATCGAAGCAGCTGGGATGGTGGAGTTGTTGTGCACAACAGCCTCCTTGGGCCTCAGCTACACTTCATCTGCCTGCCATCTTCATAACCCTTATCTTAACTCCTCTCAGGAGGCACCTTGAGTCCACCACGAACCGCACGAAGCCTGCCTGACCCTCAGAAGCTATTACAGCTAATAGGATGCCATCTACGTTCTGCTGTGTCGACACAGTTATCATTGTGGTAGGGACAGAGTGGTTGACATTTGGTTTACTGAAAATGTCTCCTGGGGGTTCTCTCCACGTCGAGCGGGTTATTACAGCGCTTGCATGCTTTACAGAGTCTTTGGTGGCAGCAGCTGCTGCTGCTTATTGTCTGACTGCAGGAACTTAGTTCTTACATTAAGTTTATTAGCCACTTTGGAGGCCCGCCATACTTCCTCTTAATGGCATTTCAGTCACTCATCTCCTGATGCTGGTTTATCCAGCTACAGCGAGACTGTCAGTTGATGTGTTCTCACACCAGCGAGTGTGCCTGAGGGTCACATCCTGTGGGCAGCTGTGTCCCCTTCTGCCAAGATCAGGTTTTCAAGCAAACCCTGGACCCGGAAGGGGTAATGCTGGAATCAAGCGGGCAGGTTCTGTTTCTAGTTCTGCCAGTGGCTTTGTGGATGACCTTGAGCAGGTCACTCCGTGTTTCTGGGGCTCTGATTCCTCTTCTGTGCCGCAGAGCTCTGCTGTTGAGAAGTGCCTGTCAAAATCAGTCATTTAGTATTAGGAGTATTTAAGTTTTTAACCTATGTAGGAAAGCTTTAGTTTTAGATACACAAATAGAAGCCTAAGCTTCCCTCGCTGTGTGCCCAAATGCCTGCTGCTTACCTGTAACACAAAGAGCATGCCTTACCTTTGCTATTGCAGACTTTGCAGTCTTCCTTACACAGTTTCTCTGCAGCTTCCTCCCTACATGATGTGCTTTAGCATGTTTAGTACTAATGTTGAGCCTAAATTTCCCTCTGCTGTAATTTGGGTCTGTTAGGAACAGATTCTTGCCTCCTCTTTGCAGCAGCACTTCCACATTTGGGCATTCTTGCTCTGCACAGGGAAAACCTAGGTGTTACTTAACTTTAGTTTCTTTCCTTTCCTCCCTGCTTTACACTGTTTGTGTTTGCATCCAGACATAAAACATACTCAAAGTCCTGGAGTGGCCAGTGTCTGAAATGAGCCCTCTGTAGGTGTTTGGTTCAGCTCTCCCAAAATGAAGACACGTGCAGCTATCAGTCATTTTTTAAATCACAGCCACTCTGTAGGGGTCACTTGACATCTCTGTTTAAAATGCCTCTGCACTTGCCATGGGCCATAATACCTTTGTAGCAGCGCACAATGTATAGACAAGGCAAGAAGAATTCAACATCTGCTTTAAAGTGCAAGTGAATTAAAAAGAAAGGACAAGGCCTGTACGCATGAGAGGGAAGCATTAATGAGAACAGGTTCCTTTGTGAGAGAAAAAGGTAATTTTATTGTTTGCAAGTGTGAATTACTAGATTGAAAATGCAGGTATACACTTCACAGGATGTGATCATGCTCTGAGCCATTTCCTTTCTTTTTCTGGTCAGGCATTGTAAAAGCACGACCCCAAAACACATACACATCTGAACAACGGGGTTCTCTGTTGTGGTATGAGGAGTTTTAGTGTGTCGGTGAGCTACACGTAGAAAAGGGCTGTAGAAACAGAGCTGGCAGAACATTTCCTTTGAATGAAGGTAGATTCCTGGGAAGTGCCAGTAAATGCCAATGCAGATGTGGGTGGGCAGAAGCTATGTGGACAGAGTGGTGTCATTCTGGTTCTTCGTTGGTTGTGCGAAGTCCTCACACCTCCTGATGAATGCACAAGCCCTTTGTCACTGGGGCAGAAGCAGAAGGGAGTTGTCTGAGACTGTTGTCTTGCTTTGCTTGCTGCATGTGGGATACCCAGGATGTGGCACATCAAGTTTGTCATTTCACACTGCTGCTGGCTGGAGAAACAAAGAAGAGATATGTGTGAGGAGAAGCAGCCTGAGCACTGCATGGAGAAGAGGATGAGCAGTCACTCCAGAATTGTTTTACAGCCTAAATTTGAGAAGGGAAATGTCCACATATAATAACTGCCTTTGTCAACATCACTGCCACATTCTTTCTTATTCTTGCTGCTGGTTGGAATAATAGCATTTGTGCAGGCAATTAATCTTCCACTTGCCAGTTTTTCATGCACCCTACACATGGGCATGGCTGTTTAACCTTGTGCTCACATATATTATGTTGTAATGTGTGGGACACTGGTGGCCTCGAGCCCTCCTCTGTTTTAACCCCTCTTTGGTAGTATTTTAAAACCTGCACTGGGAAGTGATTTTTATGGTTATCTCAGGGTATGTGTTTATAGACTTAAATACGGTTATTGTGCTCTTGGGCCCAGGTTTTTGTAATTGGGCCAAGGTCATCACCATGTAAATGGACCTACCTTAAGACAAGGAAGCTGGAGGCAAAGGCTTGAGTGTGCACTGTGGTGATTGTCCAGAGGAGAGGGCTGGTGTCTTGGGCAGGAATTACCCAGGATTAGAACAGAGTTCATCTCTCTTTGGTGGTGATTTCACCTGAGTTTGAGGGTGGCTTCCCTTGAAATCCTTTTTGTCCCATCTTCATGACCTATGGTACTTCACTGATCCCATTGCTCCAGGGTCTGGTGTAATCTTTAACACAGTCATCCTTCAGTATCACCGTGTGCAGCAGAGTTGGGAAAATTCCAGCCTTTTCTGGTTTACCCTTTGGGAAATGCAGCACAGATCAATCACAGCCCGTATCTCCAAAGGTTTTTGGGTCCAGAAATCCATGAATCAAGAGCCTCAGTGACTTGCCAAAGGTGACACGGCGGGTCTGGGCTAGAGCTGTAGTTAAACGGGATCTTGTGAGCCTTCAGCTGGCCCAGCTTGGAGCAGCCTCGTGTTTTCAGGGGCTCAGGTATCTGTGCATTCACAGCTCCTGTGCTGGGTAGGTGTATTTCTCTGTGTTCAAGCTGAAGGCCCACATAGAGTATCTTTTCAGCACACACACAGCTGCTGTATCTGCAGGAGTGCACCCTGTGAGCAGCCTGGTTGTGGCAAGGTCAGGTAAAGTCTCTCTTCCTGGGATGAGCTGTGTGTGGGTTCTGGTTTTGTTCTGCCTCTCTGTCAGCTTTGATACATAGATCCTCAGATCTCTGCAGTGTACCTGTGTGTGAAACAGAGACTAAACACAGACACTTTAAAAAGTGTAATACTAAATTACTGCTAAGTCAGGTGAGCATCGTGATTTCACTTCTGGAGGACAGTAACTTGCAGGTGAGACACCCTTTAAGGACGCAGATGTTTGGTCCAAACACCTTTATCTCCCAGGAGGACTCAGGTTATTCTGACAGGTAAAACAAGATTGTGCAAATATGCAACAGTGATCTAATCAGCTGGAACAACAGCAATATTTTAACTGGCGCTACCTTTTAACAGCATCATTAAGGGCTCTCATTACTCTTTTATTAGAGGCTCACTCTATTTCTTATCAGATTACAGAATGAACATAACTCATGGCACTGATTTGATCTCTTGTTAAAGAGGAT